AAGATAATCATTTTTTTTTATTTTTTTTTTTCAAATTTATAATCAATATACATAACTTGATAAATACAAACACCAAAATAGGCTCTATTTAGTTCCCCTTTAAAGCCAAGAACTCGATAAGGAAACTCATTTTATTTTATTTTAACCAGTCCTTATTAGGTAATATGAAGTGGATTCTTTCACTAGCCCAACACACTTTCCCATAGAACGCATGTAAAACAAATACATATTTATTTTCATGAATTTAACATGCAACATGAGGGCTGCGCATATGAGATTTTTTTTAAATGTATATTGTCCCTAGTTATACAAGACACACTCAATATCTATACAACGATTCAACTTTTGGTTGTCGTGCATTTCTTTTCCTAGTAAACGTAGTTGTGTCTAAATTTCTTTGATTCTGTTGTCCAGGGTGACCGTCGTGCTCTTTCATACGTTTCTGATTGTGAATCGCCGAGATCAGCTTCTGATGCGCTGCATGTTAAAACCATTGAGAGGACAGCGGTTGAAGCTAAAATAATGATCTGATTTAACCACACGTACACACAACAAACTCGTTTGGTAACAGTTTAGTCCATCTCATTCCAAAAACTCCTAATTTCGATGTCCCAATAACTAGGTGGGACCAAGGAGCTTCATGATTGGACTAAACAGGCACAATGTTGGCTAACATAATACTCAATGATATCTATTCGCACTGTACTCGAATGACATGCGTGCAGACTAACCCGTACACACAGCGCTTAATCACCAAACCTAGGTAAATGATTAACTAAACTTTGAATACGTCACTCGCACATTTCACCTACGTTAGTATGTGCCAGATTGAAACCTTTTACCGGCTACGTGTATTCTAGCGCTGTTCTAAAATGAGAACTCATTCCACCGGCTTAAGTCCAGATTACCTGTGATGCAATAGGTAGACTACGAATAATTCCAAGGGCGTGTGTAACATTATTGGACGTTCTCATATAGAATTGAGACGAGCGTTCACTCCCGCCAGTTCACTGACTGTATTGAATCCACATTGACGCTGACGGCAAGCCGTTCTTCGTGTTTAATCTTCACTGTGACCCTCAACTCAGATTTGACCATGATCAATATTACTAGCGGTAAGAACACTCAATCAACTCAATTATTCTATATATATTTCTTTTAGCAAATGTTACAACTGAACGGGGGAAAAAAGAATATTATATAATGGTTTGGCAAGTTTATTCACGGCATTTGGACCAAACCTGTTCTAAGATTCAACTAAAAAACCTCAATAATAATATTAGAATTGATTTCGTAGTTTATCAGAAATTCAGTATTAAGATTTTAACAATATTTATAGCTAGAAGTAGCTGTGTTGAAGGGTCACGGTTCCGATGACGCGGGTGACCCACAAATACACGAGCCGCACGTACCCCTACATTAAATATTAGCTGTTCATAATGTAGGGAATACCTTTGATCAAATACACTTATACTTCATTTTATTGTTGTTTCACTTCGGTTCCAGTTTCAGCTGCCCGACATGAATTGCGCTCATATTTTGATGTCGCAACCAAAGTACTTAGTACTTGAAACAAAACGAAATATTCATGATTCGTTTTCCTGGTTTAAACGCTCGTTGTAGCAAAAGATGTCCTACTAAAAAAAAAACACCCAATTACCTTTTGGGGACTTGCTGATGTAATGAGTTCCGTTTTACAGTGTTAGACACTAATATCAGGATTTTTGTGGGGACTGCTACAAACAACAAACAGGTAGAAATGCGACAACAATGATTCAATATAATGACTGATATAACTAGATTCATTCGACATGCATATATCTGTAATGTGGAGCCCACTTTCAACTCCTACCATGTTTTTCTTCAAATATAAAAGCGAGTGCGATATCATTACATCGATGTCCCACTGGCAGTGACATCATTGACATTCTAAACCACGGCTTGAATCAAACTGTTGAATAAACGATGCAAACGCATGAAAATAATAGCTGATTCCCGCCGAGCTCGGCGATAAAACTCAGCGGAACTACTGTATTTTCGTCTCTACAGAGCAACCCGAAAGATTTACGCACACAAACTTAGTAAAATATGTCAATTTTGATGAACATTCAACGGCAGTTTTAGGTCAACTGCGTCCTCAAGTTAACATTGAAGTCAAGTGACTTTTTGAAAAAAAATAATGACCAGATCGATTGACCCAGTGTGCAATTTACTATCGCAGATTACGGGTCATGTTATTAGTGTTAAAGTTCAATCATCAGTTGCCATGGATGCAGTATAACGATACCGGTTAAAGGGCTTTTGTCGTGGCGCGCGTCCGAATTCCTTGCAAAAAATGCATTTCACATCGCAAACGTCAAACGTCCCATGGGACCCATATCGAACACGACGTGCTGTAACGAATACTGCCCTTTAAAACAGTGCTCCCACTACTAGTACCACAAAAAGTTTGTAATTAAATATAGTTTTAAAATTCTGTAAAATGTTCAGGTGGAATGTTTGCACTTTGGTCTTATATATTAGGCTACTGTAGTGTCCCGACTACCAGTTCCATGCCGGTATCCAGACTAATAGTGGGCAGGTGTATGTGCGTGCATGAGATGGCAATTGACATTTAACTGGCACGTAAATCTGACTTCCCGTTAAAAGTGCCACATCGATGTTGTGATAGCCCAGTGTTACGATATAGGTATTTAGGGCAGCCAAACTAGTTTCTGATTTATGAATCTAGCTTATATTTATTTTGACCACTTTTTAATTAAAAAATGGCTGTCAGAGTGCGACTTACCGTAATAGGAAAATCAAATTTGTGTACTAGTACCCCCGATTTTCATTTGATCTTTCTCGCGTGTCTGAGTAAGTATAGAGGGGTATTTTCGTAAGCTGTAATCAATTGTTTTTATTTTCGTAATAATGTAATTTAAATAAATTAAAAAAAAAAACACGTAAATTTGTAGACATGGGCAAGGTGTAAAATGTAATCAGCTATTTTATTCGTCCGTAATTTGTACAAAGATATTATTTTTTGTAAGCGTATAAAGCATTTTCCAAATTAAATGTCGTAATTCGTACGCAATTTCCAATTTTGATTCTTAGATACAAATTATCAAAAATATTATAAAAAATGTAATTAGGAATTTGCTTTATCTGTAAAGTGTAAAAACCTATTTTTACCAGCTATCCCTCTTGCCCCCAGTATAACATTTACCATTTGCAATGATTTTAAATCAATCGCATTTTCCCTAGTTAATCGCGATTATCGTTATACCACAGTTGCTCATGTTATTTCTGACGAGTGTTAATAATTCCGATATTGAACAAAGATTTGTGGGAGCGAAGTATGACTACGTACATACTACGTTAGAAGGTCAAGGGTCACGCCTTGAGACTAAATTATAATTTTTATTGCCTATCTAATTACTTAATATAAATTATTATATAACTATTAATTTAATCTCTCATACATTGTTAAAATAACATATATTTCATATATTTGACATGCTTACTGTGATTTGAAAACGTCATCTATTACTTGAGGTGTCAAGCGCCATTATAATCCACCATGTTATTTATTAGTACATATCACCTGACGTCACAATTACGTAATTTAAAATTCAACAGGTTGTTTTCACAGTACTATGGTTTACAAATAGTACGTTAATTTGATAAAATCGTGATATATGAAAACTATTACGAAACTGGAATGCCAACCCGCATGATATGTATGCATAAGTCACGCGCTGACACCCGACGCCGCCTCACCTGGGTTGCTTGGCCATACTCATCATTACATTTTAAGTAAAATTTATTGATTACGACCCAAACGGGTATTTTTAAATAATAACCAATCAGGCGTTTTGAGTTACGGGACAAATAAAATCACATGAAAGTCCTTATACGTCCCCTCGTACGTGCGGCTCTGTCAGTCACCCAGAGCGAAAAGGTTTATTCCATGCCATGCGCCCGATGTCATCTTTTTAAATACAGTTCTACAATTCCCATCTATCTACCGATAATCTAATCTTCTGATATTAGCATGGGGATTTTTCCACAATGGTTACAGAGATATAAGAGTACACGGTGAACATAAATACGATAGATTAAATACAGTCAGACTCAAACATCAGTTTCACGGCGTGGTTGTATGTGTCCGAAACGAAACTAGGAAGCAATTTTTTTGTAATCACCAGGATCATTAAACCCAATAAAATCTGTAAATGACGTGACTAGATTTATAGATTAACGATGTCGACAAGAACCCCCACGACGTACGTACCATTCGGCACGTACTTTCGTACATTCCACAACCATTTAATTAGTCACTTCATATTTAATGTTTCTCGTTATCTAAGAAATAAAGGACAACGCTCTGCCCAATATTGCGCATTAACAGAGCAAAGGCGAAAATGTGCGTCTCGCCCATTTAAACGAACTTCCTGCATTAGCCCTGTTATTTAAACGATAATGAATTCCCCATAGCGCCATATTGGATGACAAGGTCTAAGCCGAACATTGCGTCTACATTTTCCCCCAAGTCTATTATGACGCTGTAGAAAAAACGAACTAATCGACCTACACTGCCCTGCACTGCACTGCCCTGCACTACACTACACTACACTACACTACACTACACTGTACACTATCTGTGTATGTGTGCATGCATTATTTGTTAATTAATATACCGAACTAAACAATACATGGATTAATTCGCAGGTGAAACACTAGTACTTGGACTTCAAGTGATTACATTTGTATTCGGGTGTTACATTTCAATGAAAGAAGAACTATTTCCTTCAGGTAAGGCTTGAAGTTCGTGGTAATAAATATGTCAATATTATTTTTATACAGTACATGCTATAACATCAAATACACATTATTAATCACACTTCAAAAACATACTCACAGTTTATTTCATTCTATTAATGTGATTGAATTTAATTTATACATCATTTCTATGGGTGTTTGAATGACAAACAATATTTATTCTATATTGACAACCTCAGTGGTTGTATTTATATGGGCGCCACCACCCATCGTTATTCCTACACACATCCCACAATGTCAATACGCCCCTAACCGAAAATTCTGCGCCCGACCTTTCAATGATGTGCTGATATGAATATTTTGTTCATATGGTATTCTTTTTCTTTTTCCTTGTTATCTTTCTGTTACTTTTAATTATTTATATTCCTGCTAGTTTTTAGTTTGTATTGGTTAACAGTACTAGTTAGGGTTTAACCCTTTATATATGCAACAAATAAAAAGCAATAATTGATATAACGATCACAATTGTTTTTTTCAGAACCAAATAAACGGAAACAGAAGAGGAATTCAAGTTCTGATGATGAAAAGAAAGAAGAAGATGAAGGTTAGCACGTTTATACCTATTTTACTTCCACACTGTAACTTCATTTAGTTAGCAGTTGCAAACACAGCCATAACAAATGTCTCATATCTAATCTTCCATATATTAACAGATGCTGACAACGTACCAGTATGTGGTAAAACTGAAGAAGATTTGTTCAATGCAATCCGCTCCATGGATAAGACAAAGGCTATCCATCTGGCACAAACTGCTAACCTGGCAGCAACCTTCCAAGGTTTCACCTTCCTGCACGCAGCTGCCTACCATAACTTGCCCGAATTCGTTTTCACTGTGCAGACGTTTACTAACTTTGGCCTTATCAAGGATCTCACTGTGGACACCGAAGGAAGAGATTTCCGTGGTTGTACAGCATTAGAGATTGCAGAGAAACTGAACCACACAAAAGTCGTTGAGGCAATAAAACAGGCCACCCACTTTGAGAATGGATTAACTAATCTTCACAAAGCAGCCAGAGAGGGTGACACAAAGGCAGTGACAGATCTAATCACGCATGGAGCGGATGTGAACTGTAAAAGTGAATATGGTATAACGCCACTGCTTATGACATGCAAAGCAAGGAGGTTAGAAACCGCAAAGACCTTGATCGAAAATGGCGCTGATCTGGATGCAACAAACATCAGACGAGACTCTACGCTTCATGCTGCGGCTAGCTCCAGCAATCCAGAGATGGTAAAATTATTACTAAGCAAGGATCATCCTAAGCTTGATGTGAACATCACTAATAACAACTTGGAGACACCTCTTCACAAAGCTGCCTTTTTTGGGTGGAGTGAAGTTGCAGATGTTCTTCTCCAACATGGCGCCCTGGTTAATTCAGCAAACAAGAATGGTTCAGCACCGCTCCACATCTCTGCACTACATGGGCATTCAAGTGTTGTTGAGTTGTTTCTTGACCATGGTGCAGATATAAATAACTGCAACTGTGAAGGACGAACACCACTTCATTGTGCATCCAGCAGAGGGAACACTGATGCTGTCCAACTACTCCTTGAAAATCATGCTACTAGTGATGCAAAGGACAAACAGGGCCTAACCGCTCTACACCTAGCTTCACAAAATGGTCACACACAAGTTGTGCTTATGTTGTTGAACAATGGTGCTAATGTAAACAGCACTGACGGGGAAGGGAATACCCCACTACATAATGCATCACAGTATGGACATCCAAATATAGTGGAGGTTCTAATAAGTAATGGTGCATCAAAGAATGCTCTAACAACACAAGGGTTCTCCCCACTTCATCTGGCTGCAGATCGTCGCAACATCTTTGTAGTAAAAATGTTGATTGAGAAGGGAGCGGATGTAAATGTCAGCGATGAAGAAAACTGGACTCCTCTCCACTTTTCTGCACAGAATGGACACAGTAATGTTGTGTCTGCATTGGTGGAGAAAGGTGCAAACAAAGAAGCTGTCACAGCAGATGATGAAAATACTGCTCTTCACCTTGCTGCAAGTGAAGGCCACCTGGACATAGTTGAAACACTGGTTAAAAACGGAGCTGCCATCAATGCAACTGATGCCGATATGTGGACTCCACTTTTTAGTGCTGCTGAAAATGGCCACCAAGACATAATTGAATACCTAATAAAAGAAGGGGCTAATGTCATCTTGAGAGATGAGGATGGTACTACACCAGCCCTGCTTGCAAGAGAAAATGGATTTGATGGAGTGGCAGAGTATCTTGAAAGTAGAACAGGTGCGTAATGTGACAGTATTTCCAAATCTTCACCCACACTTAGATGAAAAGTTATACAAAAGAACATTTGTTGTAATATTTATCATTTGGGAGGGGTCAAGATTCATGCAAATATTGTTTCTTGTTGAAATCATAATTATCATATACAGCTGTCAGAAGGGTTACCTAGAACCACAAGACATCATCATCATCTCTCTCTTTCTGCGTTTTTCATTATTACTAGCTGATGTGCCAACCATTTCAAGTATGGGAGATGATGAGAGACAACTCACAGAAAGTATGATCAATTCAGCTGATGAGAGAATGGACTCAGATGAAGTTGTTGTGATGAGACGTCCAAGGCCACATGCTGATAAAGAAATCCCGAAAAGATTATCTTTACTTCTAGACAGAATAGACAGTGATGACAATTTGCTAGACAAGTGGAAGCATGAGTATGATGCCACAGAAAGCCAGACAAGTGAAGAGGAAAACAAAGAGATAGTATCAGTAGAAACTGGCAGTAAAGGTAATACCAACAAAATAAACACTCAGAAATATAAATAAACGTTGGACCACACTCCAAAAAGTATTGAATGCTTCAATTAAAATAATTTGAAACTATTTTTTATTCATTATGTAGGCGGAAATGTTGATACCGAAAAGCAACTATTCACTGTTGTCAAGAAAGGGGATATGAAAGAAGCCATGGATCTCGCGAAAACAGCAGATCTCTTTGCAATTAAAGGCGGTTTTACAATACTGCATGCCTCAGCTTATTACGACAGGGCCGAATTTGTATATATTCTACAGGTCTACACAGACTTTACCAAACTTAATGAAATGATGACCTCGGCTGATGCAAACAAATGCCCTGAAATGACTGCACTAGATATTGCACAGCAGTTGAAACACGAAGACTGCATTGAGGCTATAAACTTGGCATTGGAGAGTGAACACAAAATGGAAGATATTCATCGGGCATCAAGAGCAGGTGATGTTAAAAGAGCCACAGATCTTTTCCATGCAGGAGCAGATGTCAATTCAACAGCTGGGTATGGCATCACACCCATATATATGGCAGCCAGTGCTGGAAAAGTTGAAATGGCCAAGCTCCTTATCGAACTTGGAGCGCATCTTCCAGAAAAAGATAAATGTGGAGACAGTTTACTCCATAGGGCTTCAACATACGGACATCCGAATATGGTTGAATTTCTCACCCAATTAGAGATCAAAATGGATGTGAATGCTGTGAATGGAAAAGGAGAAACTCCACTCCATAAAGCTGCTATATATGGATGGCAAGTAGTCACACGTGTTTTGATACAAAAAGGGGCTTCTGTACATGTTGCTGACAGAAGTAAAGCAACCCCACTGCATATCTCGGCATCGTATGGTCATGCGATTCTGGCAGAAATTCTGATAGATCATGGCGCACATGTTGATGTCACGGATAGTGAAGGATTTACACCACTTCACTGTGCTTCAAGTGGAGGCCATCTTTCAATGGTTGATACACTGATTCACAACAAGGCTGACATTAATTCTATGGACTGCAAACAGTGGACACCTCTTCATTATGCTGCACAGAACGGCCATGTTAATACCACTAAACTCCTACTAGAGAACGGAGCAGAAACCAATGCCAAGGACGATGATGGCTGGACACCGTTTCTATGTGCAGCTCAGAATGGGCATTCGAGAATAGTACAACTTCTGCTTGATAACAAAGCCGATACTGACGCCAAAACTAGAGAGGAATTCACTGCAGCACATCTTGCAGCAGATAAAAATCAACTTCATATTCTAGAAATGTTGGCAAGTATTGGAACCAATTTCAATATCAGTGATGAAGAGAAATGGACTCCTATGCACTTTGCTGCACAGAATGGTTATTTACCACTAGTGAAATTCCTCAGTGAAAATGGTGCAGATGTTTTTTCAACAGCAGCTGATGGCAGTACGGCCCTTCACATGGCCGCAGGTGAAGGTCACACAGAAATTGTTACATTTTTAATTGAATGTGGCCTTGATGTTAACCATTTAGACGAGAACAAGTGGTCACCACTCCATTTTGCATCAGAGTGTGGTCATGAGGAAGTAGTGAAATGTTTAATCTCAGAAAATGCAGATGTCACAGCCACTGATAATGAAGAGTTAACACCACTGGAGGTGGCCAAGAAAGAAGGCCATGAACACATTGTCAACATTTTAAAAGAAGCCATGGAAAAAGTCAAAAACGACAACTGAATACATTCTTTTCAACTGAAAAAATAATACTAATTAGTACATCAATTATTTTTTATACAGGGTTTGGGCTGAATTAGGGTCTGCATTATACCACTGGACCAAGGTTTTCTTTTTGACAACGACATGCCTGTAGGTTTAAAATGTTCATTTTACAGCTTCAGTAAATGTATTAATTCTGTTAAAAGGGTGATTTACAAGGGTCTCAGTGCCACTGAGCTTATGTGGACCATATGTTTCTGATCATAACTTGATTATGACGTAACTAGAATTGACACATGTGGGCTGGATGTACTCACATCATTACTATGATGCCATCAATCATTCTCTTACTGATTTGAAAGTGTGTTGTATTGTGTTAGGTATTTTATGTTCTTCTATTTGTAGATTCTCTTTCTCCAAATTCAGTAGTTGATTTGTGAGTTAATTAGCATATATTTAAATGTATCTTTGAAATTGAAAAGTAACATGGCTGGTACTCTGCAATAGTTTTGAAAGCTGAAGAGAGTATCTCATGATAACTTCAGAAGAGGGCAACGTTCTTTCTTTTATTTGTTTTTATAAGTGGATGGTCCGCTTTATACAATCGTGAAATGTGACATTTGAGTACTATAGGTTCCCTACTATGAACACTAGGGGTTATTAGTAGAGATAGCCTCTTTTTTTAGTTACTGTGATTAATTTTACGTAGCTAGTGACAATTAATATTACAGAAAAATTAGTTCAGAAGGGATATTTTCTAAAAATTAAATTAATCGATTTATTACTTCACATTACATGATGATTTGCAAAAGTAATGGTATATAAGCAATGAACTTAAAAAGCGGTTCAGGCGTTAACTGAGTGCAATACTGCTGAATAGGTCATTTGCAGGTGTCCGTTTAACGTATTATACCTCATTACAATTATTTGTAATTTGTTCGTCCTTGTACATAGTTGTTTGCTATAAAATGACAAAGTTTCCATTTGATATAACACCAAGTGTTATACCGAGCCGTTGATGGTGTGCATCGTGCACGAATGTCGAACCAGCCTGCAGCATTATTTACAAAGTCGGACGACATATCATGCACACTTGAAACGTGCAATCTAAAAGAAACTATTTTGAAGTGAGATTATATTTAAGTGATATTTGTATTTATGTAACCTGGATAATTTTGTTAGTGAGGGTGGTTTAACAGATATAAACCATAAATAATTGTAATATTTGCGATGTGGCTAATAATTAACAATCAAGTGTGATCACTAGTACCGGTATGGGTTCCATCATGTTTTCTTGGTTTTAATTTTGTCTATTTTTTGTGCAAATAAAACTAAAATGAAATTTGTAAACGACAATTAAAATCAAAGAAAGCTTAGGAAGAACTCTCTTGTGCTGACAGTATTGAAGGCGCATTAAAATTAATTTAAAATTTGCTTATCAAGGTAACTAATATTTGTTTGATTTTTGAAATGCACAACATAAAAACAATGTGATCCACATTATCAAAATTTATAATACATTTGATTTTTCATCCATGGTTTTTAGACTAATTAATTCCATAGCACCTCTCTGATGAATTCAATTTAAATCTGATTTGATTTGACACAGGAGTCAAAAAAAAAAAATGTCATCAGATTTAAATCACACATTTCACATTTTTTTATTATGATGGTTCATGTCAATATATATTTAACTCATACTGTGACCTTTGACCTAATTAATGGTCATCAATTATTTCAACTAAACGTACCATATGCAAATAAATAGAAATAAGTATTTATTATATTATGAGGATGTAATGTGGGTGAATGTATTCCTATATGTATGATATATGTGCCAAATATGAATGAAAATGGTACATAAACCTTGGAGATATAGTAGTTGGTGAAAAAGCAACATCTTTGATGCGATAGCAAAATGAATCAACATTGAACAAAAGCTGACAAAGCATGCATAAGATATCACATTTTCAAAAAAACTAAATGCTGCCATTCAGCCATCTTGGATTGAATCAGTAAACCACTGCATGCGCCTATGTCCCAGATAAAGTACTAGGCACATGCAAAGAATGAACAGATTTAGTCCACAGGGTTCTAAAATATGACACTGGATGGACGGACTGAGACCAAATTATAAGCCCTGTTTAGAACTTTTTTTGAATGGGAACTAATAAGGAATGTGTATATATGAACACCTGGGCTTTAATGGACAGTAAACCAGGGAGTCCAGGGACTGATAAACTGTAGCCCTATCCTGTATGGGGAAAGGGGATATAAATTGTATACAAATAGACACGGGATGCAAGCTCCAGCAATCCCACTTTTATTTACTGATTGACACATTGTGAGTCAATCCCCAATGACTTAATGAGTATATACATTAGTTATTAGACTGTAGTTTTAGGTCTAATCTATCATTGCTAACATGTTTAGGGTACAATACAGTTTATTTATATTAGACATAAGCTAAAAAAAACAACAACTCCACGTTCACCTTGGCTCACATTGAGTGGAGGAATCTATAAAGAGTGCAAAATCACCCCCCACCTTGTTATGTAATAAGGGTATGTATATTATGTTGTATTGATTTAAGCGGTCACAAAAAAGATGTTCACCAGAAAATCAATAACCAAACTACACAATAACAAGGTGGTTCTAATAGGTACAAGATTTGACTACCAATAACTAGGTGGGATTAACAGGTACAAGATTGGACTACCAATAACTCGGTGGGATTAACAGGTACAAGATTTGACTACTAATAACTAGGTGGGACAAACAGGTACAAGATTTGACTACCAATAACTAGGTGGGATTAACAGGTACAAGGTTGGACTACTAATAACTAGGTGGGACTAACAGGTGCAAGATTTGACTACCAATAACTAGGTGGGACTAACAGGTGCAATATTTGACTACCAATAACTAGGTGGGACAAACAGGTACAAGATTTGACTACCAATAACTAGGTGGGATTAACAGGTACAAGATTGGACTACCAATAACTAGGTGGGATTAACAGGTACAAGGTTGGACTACCAATAACTAGGTGGGACTAACAGGTACAAGGTTGGACTACCAATAACTAGGTGGGACTAACAGGTACAAGGTTGGACTACCAACTACGCAATAACTAGGTGGGATTAACAGGTACAAGGTTGGACTACCAATAATTAGGTGGGATTAACAGGTACAAGGTTGGACTACCAACTACGCAATAACTAGGTGGGATTAACAGGTACAAGAT